GCGAAGTCATAACTCTATCTTCTATGCCTGTCCTTTGATCTGTTTCTGTAGGACATAACAAATATAATATTAGAAAAACCGAAAATCGAAATTCTTAATTATGTACGAGATAAGTTATTTATTTTTCTTTAAAAATAAATTTCTTTGACATTTTCTTTCATAGGATTTTGAGCAATTCTTAAAAATTTTCTAGCATTTTTTTAAACATTTTTTAGCGATTATAATAATAATACCATAATAACAAGAATAATAACAAAAATTCTAATAACAAAAAGATATAAACTAAAAAAATGTACAACTAATAAGTGACAAATTAAAGTCTACAATACAGTGATAGACTCATAGAGTCCAGCACGCGCGAGCACATAGAAAGTGCATGGTAAAATATATTTATATATGTAAACTACTATATAATAATACACGCACACGATGTCGCGATACCTACCTTGTGATTCGTCGTCTATCCAAAAAGCTGGGTGAGCCGTGACGCCGAGGTATGGATGGCGAACGCGATCTACTAGAGGCGGAACTGCTAGAAGTGGAGCGGGAGGAACGACTGGAAACGCTACTTGATGATCTTGATGAGCTAGAGAAACTTCTACCTCGACTGTGTCTGGAGCTGAAGAAAGGAGAAAATTTTAATATCTTAACAATTTTAATAGCTTTTAAATATTAGATTAAATGATTAAATTTCATATTTACCTAACAGAAGAACGTGAGCTACTCCTGCTGTGACTGCGTTTGTCCTTGTCCCTGGATATCCTCGATGCCGATCGTGAACGACTCTTGGATTTCTTTGACAGCGAACGACTGTGTGATCTCTTTTTTGACAATGATCTGCTTCTGGATTTTTTTGACAAGGAAGAACGACTGCGTGAACGTCTCTTTGATGACGAACGATTTCTGCTTCTAGATCGTGATGCAGACTTCTTACACCTCGAAGGTGATCGCGATGCACTCGAGCGTTTTGATTCCGCCGAGGAAGATCTCGATCGGGATGAGCGTTTCGTTTTCATTTTGGGCGATAATTTCTTCGCCCTAGAGGCGGATCGAGAGGTCGATCGTCGCTCAGGTGATATTGAAGACTTCTTGCCTCGTGAACGAGATCGCGACTTCTTGTCCCCGGATGGTGATCTGGAAGACCTCGCTTTATCCACAAGGGATGGCGATCTCGTGCAGGATCTTGATGCTGATCTGGAGTACGATTTGCTCTTCTTTGGTGATCTCGAGCGCCGATTTAATCTAGCTAGTGAAGTGTTCAACAAAGGTGGTGGTGATTCGCTCGGCGAACGCAGTTTCATCATCACATTATCCTCTCTGGATATCACCATAGTGGGAGAATGAGAGGATGACTCTCTCTTTGAGATATCTTTCTTCGAGGATGCAATCGATGGCGAATCCTTTTTGCCAGAGGAACTTGGTGATCTTGAAAATTGATTATTTGACTTTGTCTTTATGCCAGGAGATGTAGAATCAACTTTGTCAAAGGATTGTTGAGGCAATGGCAACGGCGGTGGTGATTCGCTCGGCGATCTGATCTTAATTGCCGCTTCCTCTCGAGTGAGAGGTAAAGCCGGCGAGGGTGATCTACTGGATACTGGCGATGGAATCACTGGTAAAGATTGTATAACTGGTTCCTTTGATCCGGATCTATCTCGAATCGGTATAGTTGAATTCTGTGCAATGGCTTTCGGCGGTTCATTTGGTAGAGCAATATCCAACACGTTGTCTTCTCGTCTCTCAATCTTGATCTTTGTAGGACTAATCACTTTCTTCTCCAGTGTTTCTCGTGCCTTCGCTGCCAAGCCACTCTGCAATCGTTTCAATGTATTCAATTCTATAATCCTTCTCTCTTCATCTTCCTCCTGCTGTTGTTGTTTACTGGGCTCGTCATCAGCCAAATCGGCTTCATCCTCGCTCGATGATCTTAAACTCACTCTGGGCGCAACCGCTATCTGCTGTGTTTTTCTATTTCTCGATGTCGAACGCGATTTTGTCTTGTCGCCCTTTGTTTTCTTCTTTTGATCCCGTCGAGATTTTCGATCCTCCAAGATGTCCTTGTATCGCTCTGGATTCTTCCTAACTGGCGAATAGCTCAAAGTGGAGCGTGACCGAGATCGCCGACGTTGCTGTCGTCTTACCGATCGCGATCTTCGGCGAGAATCTGTATCCCTGCGTCTCATCGGTGGAGAAGCCAGTCTTCTACGAGAAGATCCATAACGATCATACTTGGAGCGACTTCTGCTCCTGGATACAGAATGTCTGCTGTGTCTTCTGGGCGATCGAGAATATCCTCGTCTTCGTTTAGGAGACGGACTCGCACGCCGTGATCTTGAATACCTCCTGGGAGATCTTGCTCCTCTGTCTCTATCTCTGTCTCTGTCTCTATCTCTATCTCTATCTCTATCTCGATCTCGATCTCGATCTCGATCATTTCTGTCACTTCTATCACCTCTGCTTCTAGAAGATGATTTGTGTCGTCTGTTTGATGGAGCAGGACTCCGGTTATGATTCAATGGCGATTTGTCTCGTTTCTCTGTCACACTTTTCTTTGGCGAATCTTTTTTCGATTTACTAACAGCCGGTGGAAGCGGCGGGGTTTCGTTTCGAGACATTGCTGTTCGTGATAATGTCTCTCGCTTCGGCGATCGAATTGATCGAGGAGGAAGAGGTTCTCGCGAGGACGCGGTATTCTCGGAAACTTCATTCCTCGATGCTTTGTCCACCGTGATGTTTTTTTCATATTTCACCGATTTTTTCGGTCTTTCCACAGAACTGTAAAATAAATTCATGTCAAGTTAGAAATTAAATAAAAGAATATAAACAATTAGTGTATTATTATATAAAGAATATATTTAAATACAGATACGAAATATAGATGTTATTCATTTCAACGTAGAATTTCTGACATCTAATAATTTTTTTCTTTATTTTTAAATTTATATTAATTCAACAATTGTTTTTGCTAGCAATTACATCCCGTTATTTTTAATTTAAAATGTAATATTCCAATAACAGAACTATATCTTTTTTCTTAATAATCTCGATAATCAAATTAATAATACCAATTAATCTTCCTTTCATTTTTAAAGAATTCATATTATGAAAAATATCATCTCGGCAAAAATTTAAATTTGAAGTTCTGAGAGATTCTTCGAAAATCTTATTTCATCAAGTAATCTATATTCTATATTCTATTTCTATATTTCAAATAAAAAGCTATTATTGAAAGTTTTCAGTTTTCAATCAAGTGTTCGTAAAGTAATAATCATGTATAAAATGTAATATATATAGAAATTAAAAAAAAAAAGAAAAAAGAAGAATAATCTACATACCTGTCTGTAGAGCTTTCGGATGACTGGCGTTTCCGTTTAGTTGAAGTCTTCTTTTTCTAAAAGGAAATCCAATATGGATCAATATTGCTTATTCATTCTAATTAGTGAACATCAATCATGCATTCTTCAAGAGTACAATGAAAACAATATAACAAAAAAGGAACAATGTATTTATTTAAAAAATTTTTCCGGAGTCTGCTCTTTTTTTCTTCTACTCAGCGGTTTTACTCTTCTACTCTATTATCAGTAACAATAAAAGATAAAAATACGAAATAATCTATTCAATATATATACTTTTGTATGCCTGGAAAAGATTACAACTTGAAAAGAAAAAATTCCAAAAAGACTTGCTTCTCCCTTCTTCTAATCAACAATTGTCAATAATGATAAAAAATAAAAGTACAAGACAGACCATTTATTGATACATACTTTTGTATGCATAAAAAAGATTACAATTCAAAGAGAAAAAAATCTGTTCTTTCCTTCTTCTAATCAGCAAGTATTGTCAGTGATAAAAAATGAAAATACGAGGCAGTCCATTCATTATACATATACTTTTATACGCATGAAAAAGATTACAACTCAAAGAGAAAATTCCAAAAAAAGAAAAAAGATTTAGCTCCTTTCTTCTTCTAATCAGTAGATATTGTTAGTAACGAG